GTTTCTAACCAGTCCCAGGTGATGTTTATGATGGTTCTTAAACCACCACTACAAGCAAGTTCTATCCTGCCTTTTCACTCTTCATCCAGTCCGCGTCTTCTCCCCACCCAAACCTTACAAACCTAAGTGGTAAATTGCTATATATGAATATAATGGTTGACTTTGCCAGCATACATTCCCTGCCTTTTAATTTTTTCCAGTACACACCATTATGTAATCCTTCTAGATGTAGGTTTAGCTCTGTCCTTAGCAGCCCCTGAATGGTTTGAGGGCATGAAAGAATAAGCTCAAACTCTTGATGGGGCATCAAGAAATTTCTAACTCAGAGGGACCTTTTATAAAATCACATTATCAGCATGGTCTTTTCCTATTTTATTGCTATATTTCTTCTTTGCCTTTCTATCCTTTTCATTCAGAATTGACATGGCTACTTATCAGTCATGAAGCCATTTGGGGGATCTTGACAGAAGGTTTCATCTACAAAGGCTTAGTGGTCATAAACAATTTATCATAGGAGTTTCATTGTAAGAATCTTTTCTGCTCCATTGTTTTTACATATGTGTGTCTCTGGTATTGCTATTTTAAGATTTTCTGTGTGTTTTTATGCCCTCATTTATTTCAGTTCTACTTCTATTCCTACTGTATAGCTTATCAACTAGAATTAAAATTTAGTGCTGCTTTGAGTAACTTAAAGCTAAGCATCAGTTCTGGCAAGAATCCAGGAAAACTCAGCTACTGTTTCCCTCGCTACTTTTGTGTTACATGAACAAACATCTCTTTCTAGTAAAAAGAAAAAATGGTCATAAGTCATCCTTAAAAATAATTACCAAGACTTTAATAAAATATTATCTTTCATATGAATCAAACAGTGGTTATCATCCATATTAATTTTTAATTCAAATGAACAATTGACAGCTATTAATAATTATAATTGAATAATCTTCTAAGTGCTACTAGAATTTTTATTTTTAAGGAAGTAATTTTATATTTAGCAATTTTTAATTTTATAATTCTCACAGAATACATAAAAATGTACGTAATTGTGATTCTTTTTAATTAGATTTTCTTCAAACATTTCATATAGTATATTAAGTTATTTTTTTCATAACATAACTGATTCCCAAATTTCTTTTATACATCTCATAAGACTATTTGGCCATAAACCTGTGTTCCAAAATATACTATTCTATTATAAAACAATACCAGAGAGAGGAATTAGATGTATGAAATATATATTTTTTAACAGATGTAAGTTTTATATAAATTCTGCAGTATGCAGATGGTGAAATTTGTGAGTTTTATTACTGTCTATTTGTTTTTGATCAGAGCCTACATTTTCATTGATGGCAAAAAAAATACCTGAATCTAAACACTTTTAAAATATAATCAACCCTGTCCAGTGATTTTTTTGGGGGGAGAGGGGTGGGAAGGATGGGGGGACGTTCAAGGTTTAATTCACAATCCAGTTCACAGATATCATGTGGGGTTTTTTCAAACTTGGGTCTGTAGTTGATTAACTATTGTTGGCATAGTGATTAAATCTTTATTCTCTAGGCTGGTGACATAATGTTGATTTGTAGGGTGACATGTTAAATGGGGGAAATTGCCCATCTGAGCTCATTGTAGCTTCCTAGTACTAGCGGTTTGTCTTTCTCACCATCTCATTTCTGCCTTTGTAAAGTGTCCAGAACACAAGGTTGTCTACATCTAGCCTGGGAGATTTCTTACACAGCCAACTGCTTTCCCTATTACCCACCTTCTGAGTCTTCCACTTGGACATGTGGGAAATTGGCTTCCTCTCTGTATCTAATTGTGATTTCCTAAAACTGGGAGATTGCAGGAAGTAAGAAAGAGAGTTTCTGGCACGGTTTTTGCATTTCCTCATCTTTAAAATGTGGTTTAATAATAGCAGTTGCTTCATGGCATTGTTATAACTGGTAAATGAAATGATTGATTCCTGGATAGAGCAGAAATTTTCTGTCCTAGAAAAGAAATAGTGAAGAAAGAAAGGATTAGAGTATGCAATAAAAGTGTATTTTATCTTTTGCTTTAACCAGGTTTATCCTAATAGTCTTAGAAACTTGATTTCTGTGATGAGTCCTTAAGAATTTCATGGTGAAGTCTGTGATGATATTTGGTATAATCCTCTAGCAACTGGCAGAATATTGCCAAATTTGCTACTTTTTAAATGTTGATTAATGATTCAGTCATCTATGCAATTAAGATTTATTAAGAACTCCAAGGCTATTTCTTGCAGAGGGTAGTATAAAATATAGCATACACAGTAAAATGGACATTGAACAGTTTATCATGAGTTTTTTTTTTCTTGTCTAGAGAATAAAACAAAAATATAAAGTATTTTGTGGGAGGAACTGACATATTCTTTTCCCTACAATTTTGCATGTGCTGTCATAAATGCCTGCTGATTAGTAGTTAATAAAGACTGTTTAATATTAGGAGCAAAGTCCTAGAATGAAAATTTCCATGGTTAAATGACATATAATAAATCCTACTTTTAAAATCTAATCATAATTTCATCAATTCTACTTCTAGCTTAAAAAAGTAAGTATTCTAAACTAGATATTTCCTTTGAGAATTAAACCACTGAAGAACATGAAGACATTAAAAACTAATAATAGTTTTTGGGGGTGTATATATTCTTTTTTAAATTGAGTTGATTATTATTTTCAAGGCATTTGATGAATGCCGCAGTTTCTCTTTTGATCCTTATCTACCTCATACATTGAATATCCATAAAGATGAATATTAATGATAGCTATACTTTTCATGTTAGACATCTATTGGTTGATCTTGCTTCAAAGTAACTTACTTCTTTGTAATATTAAGTTACTCTAATTTCCTACCTCCATGCTTTTTATTTTCCTCCGGAGAAAACCTTTCCAGGGCATGACCTAATGAATTCTGGTTCAGATTTCCAAGTGAATATGAACCAAAGTGATTCTATAATTTGGTGGAGAGAACCTTCATGAAATACCCTAGTGAGGGAATTTTTACTGTTTCGTACCAGACTAAAGTATTTTCTTGACATATTGTAATTGAGCTTTTACATTTATGAGAATATAAATTGCAACAGCACATTGTAACATGTCATGGGTCCAGTAGAGCCTTAGGTCAAGGGTTTTTATTTTCTTTATAACCTCCATTAAAAATAGCAATGTTTTAAATTATTTTTCCTTTAAAAATTAGAAAAATATGTCCTGCTCTCCAGAGATATGTTATCTTTAGTTATTTCTATAATTTATATGGTTGCATGGGGTATGTCTTTACAGTTTTCATTTGGCTTGACCAAAGTACAAATTCAATTTTATAGGTATGGCTAGTTAGCCTTCTCTTTTAAAACCTCAATATGGTTTTCTAATTGAGAAAGTTAATTTTTGTGTTTTCCTCTTTATTCCTGATCTGTCTGTCATCTTCTTGTTTCAAAAGCTTCCTAACATCCCAACTTTAAGAAGACATTACTCCATTTTCAATGTTAGAGCCCTGGCCAGCAGTTACTGGTTACTACTGCCATAATATAGTTATGCTGTATATATCATCTGAAATTGAGGGTGGCACTTTTCTATAGCACTTCTTCTATACCCCTCAAATAGGGTCACGAGATTCTAGCTTAACTTCTACAAGAGTTTCTTAGATCTTATTACCTGCCATCTTAGAAGGTGTTCTGAAGCAGCATGGAATAATGTTTTTTGCAGCAACTTGATGGAACTGGAGATAATTACCCTAAGTGAGGTATCTCAGGAATGGAAAACCAAAGTAATAATTGGGAGCTAAATGATGGGCACACATGGGCACAAAGAGATGTAAAATACATTGGGAACAATGAAGGGAGGAGTGTGGGAGAGGGGTAAGGAGTAAAAATCTACCTATTGGGTACAACGAACACTATTCTGGTAACAGGCATGGTAAAAGCCCTGACTTAAGCATTCTACCAGGTATATATGTAAGAAGAACATTTGTACTCCCTTAATATTTTAAAAAATAAAAAACATAGATGTTTTGAAGACTAACCAGTTAGAAATCCTCAGGAGTCTGCCATTTGTTTTCTTCTGCTAAGGAGTTGGCTGCACTTAAGTCTTTGCTGTGAATCACAAGAATGGGCAGTAAAGAAATTTATCTGTAAAATTCAGTGTGCATCTTGTTTGCATAAGTCAAGCATGGTACATATAGGATTTGGCTATAAGCAAGAGAAACTGAGTCTGGCTGTTTGAAGGCTGTGGGAACTACAGAATTTGTGATGGGCTAGAGAGTTCGAATCAGCAGGAAACGAGATAGCCCCATGGTCCCAAAGCAAGATATACAGTAGCAGCTCTTTACAAGAAGAGTCTGCTAGGACATAGCCCCATTCCACCACTGTGAGTGGATTCTTGCCATCCTTTCATCTCTCTGTCACTCACTGAGAAATGAAAGTCACAAGCAAGAACATCCACTTAGCTGAGGTTATATGTGCCCACTGGTGGTCAAACAGTAGGTCAAACAGCCTCCCACCCTTTTTTTCCTGTTGACTGCACACAATGGAAGCTTCCCTCTGAGTTGGGAGAGAGTGGCATACATAGAATTTTTAGAATCCTGCAAATGTTCACTATTTTTATAAAACAAAACCAACTAATTATTCATTTTGACAATTTATTTTAAAAATTAAGATTTTTCTGGGGCATCATGTTGACATTGGAGAATCTCAGCACTATAACATATTGTCTGCACTAGCTTGGAAAAATAATTTTTCTAATTCTTAAGTAAACTTAAAATAAGGATGCCTACTTGATAGGATTATATTGAGACACTCTTTATAATGCTATAAACATAATAACAGATGCAAGACAAGCACTCAATCTTTAATGGCCTTCTTATGCTTGAGCAACTTATTCTTTCATCAATGTTGCTAGAATTTTTTTAAAAACTATTTTCCAATACAATGATACTGTTCACCTATATGTAATTTTTAAATAAATGATATAGTTTGATTTTTTTTTCTTTTACAGACAGGCTAGTCTCAATGAAGCAGCTGAGAAGTACTATGACCTGGCAGCCAGGCTGAGACCTAATGTAAGTACTTTCCTAGTGTACTTTCTGCATTATTCAGAGAGATGGACTTAAAGCATGTGACAGTTTCAGAATATAGAAGAGTTGTGATACCTGGTTTTTTTTCTCTCTGATCTCTTATTTTGAATACCCATCAAATAGCTAATTCAACAATAAAATCTGCCAGTCTCAAGCTTCTTTTTCCAGAGGTAAAAATTGCTGTTCTCTAGCCTGTTTTATAAAGCACCGTAAGATTTTATCATTTGAATAAAGGTTTTAGCATTACTAAATACTTTCTATTTGGATGACTTTTAAAAGTAATTCCTTGAAAGTTTTTTTTTTGCTATGGCATTAAATACCTATTATATTTTAATTCCCACATACAGTCAAACCCCAAGCCGTGAGCCTCTCTCCTGTTCCACAGTCCTCATTTCTAATAATTGTGCTTTTCAACTTTATCAAGAGTATTTTCATTATCGTTTCTCCCTGGATAGTCACACTTCCATAAAGGAAGATGGATATAAATTAGATCCCTACTATTGAAATAGAGTAACTACTTATGAGAAAATGAGGGCTGGTTTCTGTCTCCATCTAAGTACGTTTTCTTTGCAACACATCGCTGAGTTCCAGCACATTGCTTTTATTCTATACATCTCACTCCAACACTCAAATCTTCTAACCTATTCTCCAGATCAAGACCTTCTGCTGGGAAATGTAATTTTGAAACAGTAATGAAAGTGCACATGTGATATGAGTACAAATAATGAGATCAGTCTCATTTCTTTATAGTAACCCATCCAGTGGGCAGGCATCTATGGAGTGTCTGCTTTAGGATACAGAGATTTCATACCCTAAAAGACCACACAATGTAGCAGAGAAGCCTAAACATAATCAACTACACAGAGGTATCTACAGTTCTCTGGACACAAAAGAGGAGGACTAATGCCCCTGGAAAGAGGACCTACATGGGAAGTACTATTTTTTTTTTTTCAGGAGATTCAAACACATGGAACCTTATCCCTAAATCTAAATGTCTCCCAGTCTCATTTACAGGAGAGAAAAATATCTTTTCCTCACTCATCCTCCAGGCTCATGGCTGAGACCCCTACAATGAAAGACTCATTAAGAGAAAAACATTAAAATTTAATAAAAAAATTTTACCTGACAGCCTTCAGAAATGAAGACCCAAAGAAACAGGGAAAACTGTGTATTATTTAAGGACAGTCATGCAGAAGCATGATTGGAGAACAAAAGGTTATTATCTAATGGTGGTAAATGAGGGGGAACTTAGCAAGTCCTGTTTGTTGAAATTCTTCTGTGTCCCTGTGTCTTCAAAGATAAAGATATTAATGAGGGTCTTATGACCTACTTCAGGGGAAAAGGGAAGGAGGAAGTCAGTGAGTGACCTTCCGCTTCTGCAGTTTTTCTCAGTTTTCTTCAGCTTGAAATACTAGCTGCCATATTTGGGGTGGCTGTTCTGAACCCTGTCACGTTAACTATGAGGCATCTCAAGAATCGATGAGCTATTTGCCACAGAAGAAAAAATTTAATAATCATAATGGTAACAATGATAGCTAAAAATTTATTAAGCATTTAGTGTGTGCCACACTAAGTACTTCATATGAATTCCCTCATTTATTGCTCACAACTCACAGATACTTTTGTGATCCCTGTTCTGCTGAATGTCAGAGAAAGTAATAACTCACCCAGCGTCACAATTAAATGGAATCACGTTGTAACCCAGGCCACGGTGTGCCTAAGAGACAGATGGATGGGAAAAAATGCAGCCATCATCTTAGTAAGCCAGAAACTTGGAACACCAAAATAACAGTGGTCCTCTCATTTACTTACACAGTATTTACTGAGTATCAGGCACTACTGTAGGCAGTGCATATACAGCAGTGAACAAATGCACAAGGGAGCCTGCCTATTAGCTTACAATCTAGTCTGAGTAGAAGGAGCTTAAACAAATAAATAAATAAGCAAATATAGTATGTCAGACAGTGATGAGTCTTTGGAGAAAGCTGGAGTAGGACAAGCAGGTTAGGAAGTACAATATGGAAGGGGGAAGGGACGGTGTGCACAGGAGGCATTGGTTTGTTAAATGCCTGAGTTGGGCAGCTTTGTGCAGTATTTTTAAAAGATTGAATTTGAAGTCTTACTGTTACAACTTCAGTAAAGAGAGATAAGGGTTTTTTCCTTTTTCTTCTTTGTTCCCTTCACATTAATATAATGCTCTAAATAAACATGATGCAAGATAGTTAAATGCAACATTTATTTGTTGAGTGCCAGTCACTTGAGTGTCCCTTTTATTTTTTGTCAAGTGGTTGGTCAGATGATCATCTTTAGCATATTAAATGGATTAGTGAGAAAATAACTACCTGAGCTATGTGACCTGACCTAAAAAATGAAACAGACACTCAGGCATCACAAGATTGGAGCCTGACTCGTGAAGCTGTTTATTTTAGACTAGCCAAATCATAAAATCAATATTTAATCTCCAATTCAAAGCCATTTTTTTCTGAATCCCCAAAATGTTTCTTCACAATCTCACTGCAGACTGCTTTTGAAAATATGTTTATTCAAATGATCCTTGCCTCGTCTGGTAACAGTAAATTAAATATTTTATGGACTGGATAGATAAGCTCATATTTAACAATAAGTAAATGATAATACAACCAATAGAACAACAGATATGGTCATTTTTAAATCTGTTTCATGAATTGTGCTTTGATTTTTTCAGTGCATGATCTAGGTAAGTAAGATGTCACAGACAAAAGAATGATAAAATACGAACCATGGCAATAATATAAATTCTGTTCCCAAACAAAGAGAACTATATAAACAATAGCCCATGTAATGATTTATTAGCAATTATGCATCTGATCTGAATTAAAGCATTTATCTAACATTTGTCTTACTCTTAGCTGCTTATTCTCTTTGTTTATAAAACATTCTTTATTCTTATTTCTATGGCTTTAACTTAATATTTGTTACCTGTCTAAATGAGAGCATAGCAAACAGACCTCAATTCCAGTTTCCTATTTAAATGATTCCATTGTCTTTTCTGTTTTTCTCATCTACACAGTAACCTAATCTTACCCTTCTTTTTCATAAAGCATTTTTTTCTGTTCTTTAAATGTCCCTGCAGTTACAATAGGTATTTGTATTTGGGGTTGGGGGATTCTATGAAGGTTTTAGCTTTGTGTCAGATCATGACTATACAAAGTAAAATATGTGGCCACAAACCTTGTGTACTGCCACCTACTACAGTCATAGATTGTCGATTACCTGTGGGATATAGTTTTCTTAATAAAATACCTATCTGTTTCTTCAATATATCCCATGATGAATTTCTTTATTTTTTTATTCTACCAAAGCCATATTTTTCTACATAATTTACTTTGAAATTGTTAATTGACTTTTTTTTAAATTTCAGGATATTATGAGAGTACAAACATTTTGGTTACAAGTAATGACTTTGCCTCACCCAAGCCAGGTCTAGAGGTGTTGACTTTTCAAATTATTTTATCTGCAAAGAATTCCAATGATCAAATGCCAAAATAATGAAAGAAGTCTAAATTAGCAGGCAATGTATACGTTTTTAGATTGTGATATTTTCATCAGAGGTGTTTAATACATTGTCATTTACTGAAGTACATAGAGAAATATGTTCATTACGAAAATGTTACCATTTTTAATCTTAATTATTTGTTTTCAAGGGGTGGTTGATCTGAAATTAAACCTTATATTATATTAAAATATATTTCTATAATAGGAAAACTCTTTACCAAAATTGCCATTTTAAGTTTTTCTAGTTTTAATTTTTCATTTTTACAAATAAGTTGATCTTTCTTTGGGGGGTTACTTTAAATAGACAGCAGTCTTCCCTGTCTTCTCTCCCACTTACCCACATCAAAAAATGCTGACTCTTAAGGTCTAGAAGGAACATTTAAATGAAACTGCTTTGTTCTTGCTGTGGGAATTAAGCCAAATTCTGCATTAACTTAGGATTTTTAAAACATTTTAATGTGAAGAATGGGAAATTTGCATAGTACAAAGTCACTCACTTTTTAGCTTTTGGCTTTGAGTAAACTCTAGAGTCAGAAGAGGAGAGTAATTACCAATGATGAGGTCTGTGCATCTTACATTTTTCTGATGTAATTGTTTTTAGTCAGAATTTATTCAACATACTTTTATCAGATTCTAGATTTATGTAAGACTCTACGCCAAGAGCACTAGGATTTCAAAGTTATGAAAAATTAACCATGACCTTGAGAAGTATACAATCTAATGTGGGGAGAGAACATGTGAATCACAATCCTCATACGTCAGGGCAGGAAATGATGCTATCTAGTAAGTGCCTTGTGAGAGACATCAGCGCTTTCTAGCAAAGTGCACAGGAGAGAGAAGTGACTTTTAGCTGGATTCATCTGAAAAGGCATTGAGTCAAAGTTGGCAAGCTTAGAGAAACTTGAAGTGATAGAGTGTTTATAGGTGGCAATTTTAGCAACAAGAAAAGAAAGAGATTTCTGGCAGGTAGAAGCATATGCATGAACCAGGGAAGGGTGCAGAGATGAAGGGTGTAGGGGAAGATAGACCCAGAAATATAAAACCAGATGGAAGATAGTGAATACCATACTAAAGATGAAGAGTTTATATTCTAAAATGTTGGTAAGCAGAATGTTGGTAAGACATATATTGAATGTAGTAGTTTAGGATGGCCATTTATATGATGCAATGAAAAATCTGTGTTGTGTTCAGGGAAGTAGGGCCAGTAGATGCAGCCTTGGGTAAACTAAATAAAAGGTCCTGGTAATTATGTAAACATAAGGTAGTAGAGACTATAGGTACAGTGTGGAACAGAAAAGAATATACAGGGAAAATATGCTGTAGATTATTTGATAATATGCGAGTAGCAAAATTAGTTGGCCATGAGTTTACCAAAATTTTGAATTTAGGTAAGTTGGAAGAAAAGAAAGAATAATATCATAAACATAAATAGTGTTTATTTCAAGAAGAAA